TTTAATCCTCGAAGTCACATTTTCTGTCAATTCTCGAAGCCATTTAATTCTCGAAACAAAAGATTCCACTACCTTATATTATAATAGGAGTTAAAGTATGAACTTGCCGTTTTATTGTAATATGTATTTTGAATTGACATAGAACCTTCATGGTTTGAGATTTTTGAGTGAATTCTATTTTCAAATGGTACATTAACTTCAAAATTATCTTCAAATTTATGACCAAAGACTGATTTTATAATAATAAATATAGTTTTAAGTAAATAAAAGGCCCGTTTTAGTTGCAAGCCGAAATAAAAATTCAAACAATCATTTTCTATTGTCCTGATTTTCTTCAGGATGATAAAATTACTGTTTTATCGTTGATCCTGCGCGTAGAGATTTTCCAGTTACGTAAAACTTCTAGAAGTTTGTGCATGTTACGATGTCACATTCCGTTTTCTATATAAATTCAGGTTCCCAGCCCAGAATCCCAGGCGGGTACCAATTTTTCTAATGAAATACGTACTCAACAAATGTTCACGATGAAGGAATAACATAAAAATCAAACCCACAAAATTATAATTTACGTAATAACTGGTGGCAGGATCTCTTGTGAGTCCGCACGGGTAAGTACCACCACCCTGCCTATTTCTGCCGTAAAGCGGCAATGCGTTTCGGTTTGAAAGTTGGGGCAGCCGTTGTAACTATACTTTAGACCTTAGAACTTTCTCTCAAGGTAGGTGGCGCATTTACGTTGTAGATGTCTATGGACTCCAGTAACCACTGAACACCAGGTGTGTTGTGAGCTCGTCCACCTATCGAAGCAATAATAAAAAAATAAAGTAAAGCTAAAAGCAAAATCAAACAAAATTACACCTTACAATTACGATCAAATTAGACGATTACATAATAGAATGGTTTCGAAGGCACATATTGACAGCATAGTCATACATTGACTGTGGTTAACACTAATTGCCTGCATCGGAATTATGCATGCAAATTCTATTTGCAATTTCGATTCTGTATGCTTAAATATTCAGTGTTTTGGGTCGTAAAATTATTATATTAATATTGATGACGTAATGAGTTCGTAATAACTTGTGGTCTGGTTATCCAATCCAAAATTGGTCTACACGATTTTTTGTAACGAATTGTAGGCTAGTTTTATCTAGCCACGTTTTGTTTTGTGGTTTTGGCCGATGTTAATAACGCTCTTCCATTTAGATTGAATTTTGCTTACAATATCATGGTTTTATGTTTTCTGCACGGAACCCTAATTCTTTCACTAAAATAAAAGTAGCATAAGCTACTCCTTATAATATCTCATCCGTGAACTTATCATTTTATAACTGTCACATTATAATTTATCACACCTTCACAAGTGTATTTATTTTCTTCGTTCAATCGAATTATAAGTAACTAGCCGTACTCGCCCGCTTCGCTGGACATTTAAAATTAACATTATTATTTATTGTCATTATTATATAGGGAGTCCAACACTCATATAAATATTAGCCTATCCATTAAATACATGTATTTTCTACATGGATACCAAGTTTCAAGTTAATCGGATGCATGGTTCAGTAGTTATAACGGAACATCCGTAAAACACACTGTAGATTTATATATTAACAAAACAAAATTGTTATTTTTATTTAATTCTGAGCATCTTCATATTTATCTACCTTTTAAACCTTCTCTGGACTTCCACAAATAATTCAAGACCAAAATTAGCCAAATCGGTCCAGCCGTTCTCGAGTTTTAGCGAGATTAACAAACAACAATTCATTTTTATATATACCTATAGAGACGATCACAATTGACATAATGTTCGAAATACTAAATCTCAACTTCGTCGTCTCAGAGTCGCAGCGCGCAAGATACGCCCCACCGCTTTTCACTGGATTCTCTTTTGAAGCGATCCTCAAAGGCCATCATTTCACAAAGTGCAAATGTGTATAGGCATATAATACCTCTGTTATAGGCTGTTCCGTCGGCATAGTTCAAGCGAGTTTGTTTTGCGCGTCTGTTGCAAAATTTTTGTTATGAGAAAGCATAGCTTATACTAAACATTAAAGTAGAATGCATGGATTGTATCACAAAGACTGCTTTGTATCATCTATATATTTAAAAATCAATTGCTGTTCGTTAGTCTCGCTAAAACTCCAAGAACGGCTGGACCGATTTGGTTAATTTTGGTCTTGAAATATTTTTGGAAGTCCAGAGAAGGCTTAAAATGTAGATAAATATGAAAATACTCGGATTTAAATAAAAATAGCAATTTTGTTTTTCCCTTGATGTGTCCCCCGTCGGACGGATTCCTTTTGTTTGTTTTATTTTATACAAAAGTTTAGGTCTTTTATTTATCGATTGAGGCCTGCGAAGTCAGCTAGTTAATATATAAATATACTTCAAGTTCACATAACTCAAAATACATGCACGACTGTAATGATTCGATGCATTTGTATATATCTCTAACAGATTGAACAGAGATAAATATTACGCATAGTATACTGATATATATTGAATCTAAAAGAAATCAGAAGTCTAAAGACATTCAATCAAGCGCTTAGGCCCATCATTCATTCATACTTAATAGCGTCCAATAGTTACATATATGTGAAAATAATTATATAATAACACAAAAACGACCATACTTTTCCATATTTCTATATTTCCGGATTAGACAGATGAACGCTTTAAACAAAATCACTGACAAATAAAAAGATTATGAGATGCCTTTGTATCATTTCCATATGAATTCACTTTTCATTTCGCGTGCCACATTTTCGCAAGGTTGGACTGTCAATATTTATACCACATCTATGACAGGAATTCTTTTATTTGAATTACAAATACGTTTCACGCTGATATTTTTGTTTTTGTTTTATACTCGCTCTTCTGTGAGGCCAACAAGTCTATTTCTTTATCCTTATTTGTTTAAAAAATTGGCCGGAATGAAATGCTTATTTATTCTTTTGCAAATTTGAGGTCTTAATTTAATTTAACCTTACATTTATTTGGTCAGCAGCGATTAAATAATTAAACCATGTTGTCATAATGATAATGGATGGTAGGGCCTATTGTAAAAGACAATGGATGGTCCATTTTACCTATTTCTGCCGCAAGACGGTCATGTTCTAGTTTGAAAAGTGGACAGAGGCTTTACAATACTACTAGACCAGGGCTTCATGTAATGATGCGTAGATGGGTAGCGGTAGTCACTTAAAGCCAGATAGATCTCAAGCTTGTCCATTCGATAAATAGAAACTATCAATTGCAAGCATTTGCGAACACCTTCCAGGATACATTGGTGTGTGTTAAAATAAAAGGACTGCCTTTAAAAACTGAAGATGCTTATGAACAGCTCGGGAGTTAAACAGGCGATTAAAAAATGGGTATTTGTGCAGGGAATAACTCTGTCTCTTCTTAAGAGCAAAAACGTTGGTCCAAAAATATACTTGTCGGAGAAGCCACAATTATTAACACCATCGTCAGACATCGTAGGGGCGAATGGAGTGATCGAGCTAAGATAAATATTGAATACACCAATCACGTTTGATGTCTTAGAACAATTTAGAAATCTTCTCTTGACGTTAGCAAAAACGAATGACAGTTCTTAGGACGGAGGCACCGGTTTTCAAGAAGGCCGGTACGTAAGTGTGATGGCGCCTATGCGCCTTAACCGGCTAGGCTCTGTCGTAGCACGAAGTTAGCCGAGTTTCGATACCGCAATCGTGCTGCCATCTCTCGAGAATCGTACCGCGTTTCGTTTAGCTACCAAATTTATGATCGTCTTCGACATATTGATTGAACAACTCCCCTTTTCTTGGAGTCTTTAAAGAAAATAACTGAATTTACTGAACAAGAACATAGAAATTTGATACTGCACTTTCTTATCGATGACAGAGGGACGGACATCCTAGATTAATATTGTAAGCATCCCGCTCTCAAAAAAGTCACATATTGGTCTAGCGATATTTCAGGAGGATAGTTTTGGTGTACAGTGTAGTTTTTGGCTACTGACATTAACTTTTATTGGGCAAGCTCCATGCTCGTAGGGCCAATTTTAGTCAGTCACCATATGAGGAAAGTATTCCGTGGAATGCTTTTCAATGGACAGGGTAGGCTACGGCTGTTGAGATATCGCACCTATTAATCAATACCAGGTCAGATTTTAGGCAACATCTAATAGCAATATACAAATGACACAGGTAAAATGTATAATCGGAACCGGTTGGTATCACGACAGTCACTATTTTTGTTGCTAAGCAAACATGTCTAGTTTGAATAGGTCTTACTGAATGGTCTGAGTCCTTCACTCTATTCTGAAAAGTATATAGTGAAAACACCATTATGGATTTCACAATATGTACACAATGGCTTTAAAATATCATGGTACAGACTGAGTGCAGACCTTGACCGAGATGCGTGAGATGAACTTGCATTACGTCAAAATATATTATTATGAGGTCTTTGTGATCGATGTTCAAGAGTCAGTCTGGAAGGTTTCGCGTTAATGAGTCCTTGATAGCTCGCCTTGCCTGTTTAATATGCAGGGGGAAGTGCTCTCATGGCTGTATCAAGGCTTTGATGCCTTTAGTCTCAAAGCCACACGATTATACTTTGGTCATAAAATGTGAAGCACTTATGTATGTTATTAAATGCCTATGATTTTTCACGGAGGAAGGAAGGTCTCAAACTTTTACTTTTCTGTTGAGATATTGAGGTTTAAGTCATTGTAAATCACTTTACTACTGCTAATGTCACTCTCGCCCGAATGGCGAAGAATTGTCTTTGGACATATGGGTAATAATAAAAATTAATAGTTTCGTAAATATTATACGTAGGTAGCGGGTTTCCAAATTTCAAAAAGCTAAAAAAAAATTGTTAATCTCGGTTTTTAATTTAATCATTTAACAGTAATGTGATATAAATCTCGAATATTTTTTTTGGTTCTAGATGTGACAGCTACGGTTCATTCAAAGCTGCGGGAGAAGAAGTTCTACAGTCATGGAATGAGTATGGATACTAATTTAACGTTCATTGAAGAAGCCCTACAAGATTTGCCCTGCCGATTGTACCCTGGAAAGTTTTGCGGCTCCTACTATGGCGTCGACTGCAGCAGCGAAGACTATCACGCCTATATTTGCGAACTCAACATCGACATCCAAAATAAGACCTCTTACAGCTGCACGACTTGTTTTAATACCAACCTGGTTGTTGATAGCAACGGCACGATCTGCAGCACTGGGCTCAAGATGAATTTGATGAATGTTATGTTCGAAAACGCACTGAAGAACTTGTGGTTGAGACTGCCTGATACCATTTGCAATTCGGATTTATATTGCTATAGTGATGTGTTGAATCGGACGTTTTACATTAACGATTTTAATAGCACATTCGAAACAAATACAGTGGAAAGTTTTCAGTGTAGCTTTAACTATAGAAACTTAACGGGAGAAGTGTTGGCCAGTAAGGGGTATGATTGGAGTTTTCTGTTTGTGATATTATTTATAGTAGCCGGGGGCTTAGGCAATATATTAGTGTGTTTGGCCGTTTGTCTGGACAAGAGACTACAAAACGTTACCAATTACTTTTTACTGTCGTTGGCCATCGCTGATCTGTTGGTTAGTCTGTTTGTGATGCCAATGGGAGCTATACCAGGATTTTTAGGTAAGCTATAAATATTTGAAGTCATTATAATAAGAACACTTTATTTTTAGTTTAAAAATCCATCTATTTGAATTATAAATGCACAAGTCAATCGTAGTAAATCAATTATTTAATGACAATAATTTCATATTTCGGACCAATTTTGGTCTTTATCTGAAAGGAAAGACAGCCGAATGACCGCGCACAAGTGACATACTTACAATAAAAATGAACAGTATAATTTCTAATATCTGGAGGTTTGCAGTTGTTCTGATATAAAAAAAAGAGAGATTCACTGCGTGAAGTGTATTTCAAGGAGCAAGCTTCTACCCAGATAATACTGTCAGGAATATTGACAGATCGTTTGTACTCCTCCACAACCGTATGTTAACTCCGTAAAGGCTTGTTATTTCCTATTCTAAACATCCTCGAATCCCTATCTATTCGACGGATGAAAGCAATTTTCCCTCCTTAGTTGTACGATCGCGTTCGATGTATGATGCCACTACAACTCACGTCTGGAGTCACGTTTTTCATATATAATACTTATTTTCATGAGACCTAACAATATTTCTATCTCAGACGCAAAATATTTTATCCTTCATTCATACGATACTTTGTGCGCTGGTTACGGAAAATGAAATTCTTGTAATGTGACTGTAATATACATAGAATGAAGCCTTCATGAAGTTCACTGGAAATATGCTCACAATCTTACGTCTTTAATCCTTAATGGAGGAACCTGAGTTGTTCCGTTCAGTTCACGGTAAATGATTCACTTCGTGAAAGTATTTTTTGTTTTTTTTTATTGTGTTCTGGATTTTTGCAGTCTTTTGTAGGGCGGATTTTGTTGTAGGGCTTTTTTATTGCTATATGATGAATGAGTACATGGTCTACATCTTTTGCTCAGATTTTTTTTTTATTGCTTAGATGTGTGGACGAGCTCACAGCCCACCTGATGTTAAGTGGTTACTGGAGCCCATAGACATCTACAACGTAAATGCGCCACCCACCTCGAGATATAAGTTCTAAGGTCTCAGTATAGTTATAACGGCTACCCCACCCTTCGAACCGAAACGCATTACTGCTTCACGGCGGAAATAGGCGGGGCGGTGGTACCTACCCGTGCGGACTCCCAAGAGGTCCTATCACTAGTGATTACGCAAATTATAATTTTGCGGGTTTGATTTTTATTACACAATGTTATTCCTTCACCGTGGAAGTCAATCGTGAACATATGTTGAGTACGTATTTCATTAGAAAAATTGGTACCCGCCTGCGGGATTCGAACACCGGTGCATCGCTTCATACGAATGCATCGGACGTCTTATCCTTTAGGCCACAACGACTTTTTAAAATGGGCGGACAAGCTCACGGCCCAACTGGTGTTGTGGTTACCGGAGCCTATAGAGATCAATTGCGTAAATGCCGCTGGCCGCTTTGAAACCTAAGTTGTAAGTCCCAGTTTTAAAGTATAACGGCTGCCCCACCCTTCAAACCGATGGGCGTTACTGCTTCATAGCAGAAACAGGCAGGGCAGTGGTACCTACCCATGCTAACTCACAAGACGGCCCACGCCAGTAAAAAGATGAGGTCCAAGATTGAACTGAATTGAGCAATGGTTTATATTTGTTGTATTATACTTGCAGTGGTTACGTGATTGTTGCTTCAAAGTACGAATTTTCGCATCTAGTTTCCCATTTGTGATTTTATTGTTTTTTTTTCTATTCTATCAGCCCACAGACGTAGACGCCCACTGTTGGACATAGGCCTCTCCCAAGCCTCTCCATGACGATCGCTGCTTTTGTCTGTTGGATTTTATTTGTTTGATCCAATTTGTTGCTTTAATTGGTCATATTTGTCCAGGATATTGGCCGTTGGGTGTGGTGTGGTGTAACGTGTACGTCACTTGCGATGTCTTGGCCTGCTCCGCCAGCATCATGCACATGTGTTTCATCAGTATCGGAAGGTATGTATTATATGTTATTACTAGCTGACCCGGCAGACTTCGTAGTGCCTCAATCGATAAATAAAAGACCTAAACTTTTGTATAAAATAAACTTAAAACAAACAAAAAGAATCCGTCTGACGAGGGACACATCAAAGGAAAAACAAAATTGTTTGTTTTTATATATTTCCGAGCATTTTCATATTTATCTACCTTTTAAACCTTCTCTGGACTTCCACAAATAATTCAAGTCCAAAATTAGCCAAATCGGTCCAGCCGCTCTCGAGTTTTACAATATAATCTTTATCTGAATCTCAGTGACCTGATTTTATCATGATGATAAGAGTACCAAAATGCAATTGGCGTTAGAATTCTCGAAGGCAGATACATAAAGATTATCGGTCGAAGAATACGAAGTGAGAGGTTTCTATCATCGCATTCTTCATCCTGACTACTTGAAACAATGACGCTCTTCCATAATGTGGTTCCATAGATTATATTTTACCATCCGGCACCGGATTCAGACTGTACGCCACTTTCTTTTTCAAACGTCTATAGTCTTTAGTCTTTAACAGTAGTTTTTATTGTAATGCAACTTTTGCCGCTCTAACTTTTTTTTTATTGCTTAAATGTGTGGACGAGCACCCACCTGGTGTTAAATGGTTACGGGAGCCCATAAACATCTACAACGCAAATGCGCCACCCACTTTGAGATATAAGTTCTAAGGTCTCAGTATAGTAACAACGGCTGCCCCACCCTTCAAACCGAAACGCATTACTGCTTCGCGGCAGAAATAGGCAGGGCGGTGGTACCTACCCGTGCGGACTTCCAAGAGGTCCTACCACCAGTGATTACGCAAATTATAATTTTTCGGGTTCGGTTTTTATTACACGATGTTATGCCTTCACTGTGGAAGTCAATCGTGAACATTTGTTGAGTACGTATTTCATTAGAAAAATTGGTACCCGCCTGCGGGATTCGAAAACCGTTGCATCGCTATATACGAATGCACCGGACGTCTTATCCTTTAGGCTACGACGACTAAACTTTTAACACGTTGACTGCCATATAGGTCACCGGTGACCTACATGGCGCAATGAAGTAACTTGTTCTATCAGAACGTAATACGAATTTTCTGCGAAAGAAAATAGCGGTATTTACTGATGCTTCCTATCCCGCAATACTCGACGTTTTATTGAGAACAACAGAATCGGACTCGTCTCGAGTTTGGTAATGACATTTTTATCGAAAACAAGTTTATATCGCGCACAATGTGACCCTTCGTTGTGTCCGCAATACACTTATCTTGGAATATTGATAAACGAAAGTCCTGTGTGACGGGAGAAAGACAAAAACAAAAAAAATAAAATCAAACGAACGAAGCGTATTTTCTCGGATATTCCATTTACGAGATCTGAATTTTTATGGAGCGAAATCTTTGAGCTGGATTTGAGGAGTTCGTTTTCCAGTCAACGGCGTGAATGGTCTTTGAATTGAACTTGGATTTTTTGGTTATAACATAAGATCTTCTTAATACGAATTGTGGATTAGAAGTAAAGTATTGATGGCTGATTATGGATTTTTTTGGAACGAAGTTCCTTATGGGACGATGCGGAGGGGTGCCCTAACCGGGAAAAAACGTCCGTAACGTAAGATTTTTATAAGAAATGCACACAGTGTTCTCCGAGCGTTCGTTTGCGCAATACACTAACTCTTATGCAAACAACCGTGAATGAAATGTACCACAATAAGTTCGCACGCTACGGAATAACCGTGGGTTGTTGCGAAACCTCCAGTTTTATTTTCTTTATACCTCGAATAGAACTAAATATTAATATTTTTATAATAAGGAACTTCGTTCCTATCCGGTGTTGCACGACACCACACATCTTTTTTACTTGAGAAAACGGGTCATTGACCTTACGGGTGGTGTTAAGTGGGTACCAAAGCTCATAAGCTTTACAACGTGAAAGCCAATAACCATTTTGAGATTTGAGTTCTAGACTCAGTTCTATACTACTACACCGGCGGTCTCGTACCTCGAATCAGAACACATTACTGCTTGGCGGCAAAAAAGGCAGGGTAGCGGTACCAACTTGTGCAGGCTCATAAGACGGCCTAGTATTACCCGATAAGTTATCATTATCATCATCATTATCCTGCCCTTCTCCCAGTTACCTGGGGTCGGCGTAACATGTTTTCTCCTTCCATACTCTTCTATCATATACCATTTCTTCGCTCACTCCCCTCTTACCTTTATCGTCTTTCACGCAATCCATCCATTTCTTCTTAGGTCTACCTCTTCCTCTATATCCTTCCACATTCATACTTCAAATTTTCTTACCAACCTCATTTTCATTTCGTCTCATCACATGTCCATACCATCCCAAACGCGCACTTCTCAGCATCTCTGTCACAGGTGCCACTTACTCGATCAGTAAGAACACTTTTTATTTTTCTTGGTTTCTATTTCTATTACACGATGTTATTCCTTCGCTGTGAGAGTCATTCATGACATGAAAATATGTCGTACGTACGTATTTCATCAGAAAAAATGGTATTAAGAAAAATACAGATCTCTAAACCACAACTTCTCAAACGTTGATACTTTCGTGTTCAGTTTCTGAACGTAAAAATGTCAGCGAGCGACGTCCGCCATGACACCAATCATCTTTCAATGCATAAATTTTATAGTTTTCTTATATTAAGTCGTTCATTTGTAATATAAAGGTACAATAAATATCTCATACAAAAAATATAGTCCACGCTCAATGACCATCACGCAACATACGGTTTATCTATGATATTATAACTTATCGAAGACAACATTACTGGTGGTAGGACCTCTTGTGAGTGCGCACGGGTAGGTACCTCCACCCTGCCTATTTCTGCTGTGAAGCAGTAATGCGTTTCGATTTGAAGAGTGGGGCAGCCGTTGTAACTACCTATATACCTTAGAACTCATATCTCAAGGTGGGTGGCGGTCTTACGTTGTAGATGTCTATGGGCTCCGGTAACCACTCAACACAAGGTAGGCTGTAAGCTCGTCCACCCATCGAAGCAATTATAAAAAAAAAAAAAAAAAACTGTTTAGGAAACTTTAACTGATGCGACATATTTAGTTAATAAATAAAAATTACTTGAAGCAGAACCTGCGTGTCTACAGATGATTAAGTCTAGCCTCCCGCAGTGAATATAAATCAATTTACTACTACCTTCAAAATAAAAACATTGGTATAACAGTAACGGATAGGTCTGGTCTGTAAATCTTTTTGTTGTCGAGCAGAGAAAAAAAATACAGGACGTTCCCTTGAGTGGCCATTTTGAGTGACGTACCTTTTACAAGGTAGGCACCTTTTAGTGTTGATATTCCGTTCAGGTAGTGCGAAGGGGCTCTTTCACATAAGCGATGTTGACGATGCGACGAATATCTATATATATAAAAATGAATTGCTGTTCGTTAGTCTCGCTAAAACTTGAGAACGCCTGGACCGATTTGGCTAATTTTGGTCTTGAATTATTTGTGGAACTCCAGAGAGGGTTTAAAAGGTAGATAAACATGAAAATGCTCGGAGTTAAATAAAAATAACAAATTTTCGGACGGATTCCTTTTGTTTGTTTTATGTTTATTTTATACAAAAGCTTAGGTCTTTTATTCATCGATTGAGGCACTACGAAGCCTGCCGGGTCAGCTAGTATAAAATAAATGTTTACGTATTTTTTTTAAATTTATTAATGCTTAGATGGATGGACGAGCTCACAGCCCACCTGGTGTTAAGTGGTTAGTGGAGCCCATAGACATCTACAACGTAAATGCGCCACCCACCTCGAGATATAAGTTCTAAGATCTCAGTATAGTTACAACGGCTACCGCACCCTTCGAACCGAAACGCATTACTGCTTCACGGCGGAAATAGGCGGGGTGGTGGTACCTACCCGTGCGGTCTCCCAAGAGGTCCTACCACCAGTAAAAACGTGTTTGTTTGTTCTCGATGAGCTCGTGCGTCTTTCGTCCGTTGTAGTCAATGATGTTATAGTAAAAAGTCTTTTTACTATAACATCATTGGTTGTAGTCGTTATAGTTCGTATGTCAAGTGACGTTTTTATTAAAGTTTGTTTAAGTAAAGATCCATCCGCGGGAATGTTCTTGTTGAGGATCTATTTCAGTCTGAGAGGTCGTTTTCGATACTAGGAATGATGACTTCTATTAAAATCCCCGAGAAACCGGAGACTATAGAATGTTTTCATTTGATAATTTTGTAGTTGGATTCTGTGTGGTTGACCAAACTCACTCTGGATTTCATCACGCGATTTTTGACACATAAATACATTTCACATTTGGGATTTTAAGTTTTGACTTAGAAAACTGCAATTAGGTATATTTTATGTTTGATAAAATTAAGGGTCAAATATGTGTAAGGAAAATGTAAGTACCCACGTTCCTCGTAATATTAAAAAACATTAGCAGTACAGCTGGTATTTATGATTTATTGTGAAATTTAGAGAAAATATTCTTACTGGTGGTAGAACCTCTTGTGAGTCCGCGTGGGTAGGTACCACCACCCTGCCTATTTTTGCCGTAAAGCAGTAATGCGTTTCGGTTTGAACGGTAGGGCAGCCGTTGTAACTATATTGAGATCTTAGAACTTATATCTCTAGGTGGGTGGCGCATTCACGTTGTAGATGTCTATGGGCTTCAGTAACCACTTAACACATGCCACATAAGTGAGTATGTACATGCTCACTCTACTTCGAGTTGTAAATAAGCAGTAGTCACAGCTAGAAGATCACGCACAATGAGAATCCACGTCTCTCTCTTTCTCTTCCTCTAATTCTAATACGCAGAGGGTTTAGAAGCTATAAATGACAAAACCAGGCAATTCTTTTCACTTTTTCACACATAGCTTTCACTCAGTTCCACTGTGTATATTATGTTCATATATATGTATATAGTGTATTATATATTAAATCTATAAAAAAATACACAGTCAAACGATATAAGACACAGTCCATATATACA